CTGAGAATAAGTTTGGGTTGTGTGTACATGTGCCCAGACTTGGCACCTATTTTCTTTTGTTTTGCGTATTTTACTTATCATTTCTACAATGCCATATGCTTCTAATGAGGCCTGAAAACCTTACAAAACCATAGCTCTTCTTACATAATATATTACTAAGGCATAATCGTGCGTATATTTATGAAATAATGAACATAGGTGTAACTTTAATTTTTAAAGTAATTTAGATTTAAATTCTTCCCTGTTTTTGTTTTGTTTTAATGTTCCCCTAGGAACCAACTTCACCCTGGCAGAACTTGGAATCTGTGAACCCTCTCCACATCGAAGTGGTTATTGCTCAGACATAGGAATACTTCATCAAGGTTATTCCTTGAGTACCGGGTCTGATGCTGACTCTGATACAGAGGGAGGAATGTCTCCAGAGCATGCTATAAGGCTATGGGGAAGAGGAATAAAATCCAGGCGCAGTTCTGGTCTCTCGAGTCGTGAAAATTCAGCCCTTACACTGACTGACTCTGACAATGAAAATAAGTCAGATGAGGAAAATGGTAGGCCTCTTTCTTTTACTATATGTCATAATATACATGTGTAGGTGTGAAATGTAAAGATGCCCAAAGATTTTATATGTATAATCAACAATATGTTTTATATTATTATAAACATTACTAGATCAGACATTATAGCATAACCATAACTTTCATTTTTTAAATGCTGTTTTTATACTCTAGGGAACTTGTGACTTATATCTAGAAAAGCATTCAGTAAGTTCTTAGGTATTGGTTTTAATAACATTTCTCATTATGATGTCTTCCAAATACTAGCTTTTTATGCTTCAATCTAGATAGCAATACTTTACATGCATGTTGTCCACCAAACTTCAGGTAGAATCTGTGGACTTTAATTTAATAATGTCAGCAGTGAACAGATTTGTCAGGTGAAAAAATGTATGTGATATTTATATAAAGCATGAACTAAGTTGAATAGTTTTTAGTATACTAACAGCACATAAATTGTCAAATTTAATTGGAGTGGATTTGAGTCCTGTGGGCATATTTTCATGAAATTATTAAGCGTTATATGTATTAGAGGTGGTTAATCATTAAAGGTAAGTATACAAGAGGTTCTGTTAACCAGATCTGTGCATCAAAATGATATGTACCTATATCTGTTTAATATAGTTTCTTATCTTTTTAACTAAAACAGGGAAAAAAAATAAATTACACAATGCAGAACCAATGCATGAAAAACACATGGGCATTGTTTTGTACTACTTGAGCTAATTGCTCCTTGAAATGTTTACAAACCATTTAAATATTTTCATATAAAGCAATTTTAAATTTGTCACAGCAAAATTGTGTGACTACATTTTTTTAAAATAGAGCTGGTAAAGACAGCTTGCTGTGAGGAGCAAAGCAGAGCATCCATTAATTCTCCATCCTATGGTGTGGGCAGAGAAGGAGCCCAAGTCACTTGACAAAATGAAACAAAACCAAGTTTAATTCTAAAGTGAGCTATTTTAAGAAGATAAGGAGAAACCCCAACAATGCTGCCGTATAAAGCAGCTGCTTAACACCAGCTACTGTAATAGACTCCCTTTTACATTGTCTGTTTCATTTAAAACTGTACTTTTATGGAACATTCAGCTATTTCAGTTACTCATCAGAAAAGAGTCTTTCTTTTTTTTTTATTCTAAGTTTTTTTTTTTTTTTTTACCTGAGTTGAATTCTTAATATATTAAAGTGATGGTCTTTTATTCTTTCTTTTTTTTTTTCAAGCTCAAGAGTGCCAATGTGTTAGTTGCATACAAGGAAAGCAAACAGTTGTGTGAGAAAGCAAACCTATTCTAGCCAGTGATTTGATTTGCTTTAACGCTGCCATTAAAAGAGTGATTCCAGGGAACCAAATGTCACTTCTGTCAGCATCCTCAGTGACCTGACTCAAAGTCCACTGAAGACAATACAACCATTGACTTCAAGGAGTTTTTGCATGAGGGTCCGTACATTCAGTACTTCAAATGAATGTATGTGAACTACTGAAGTTTTGTCTTAGTACAATCGATCTCAGACTTTGGGCTTGCCTTCTAGTTTTATTGAGATCAATGTTTGTTTCATTGACCTCAGTGGAAGCAAGATTTAACTTGCAACGTTTTTCACCATTTGAACGTATCTATGCAGATATCCCTGGCTTTGATCAGATAATGGGTTTCTATCTTTTTAGCTGTGCTTTTTATGAAATATCAACTATTATGAATTTGACAATAGATAACTATGAATGCATTTTGAAAAGGCAATTTTTCAAATTGTAATGTTGACTAAATAAGGAAAGACATTATGCAATGAAGTACAGGCAAAATACAAGGAATAAATGTAATCTTTAATGTTCAGTGTTAACATTTTATTTAGTAAGCATTTTATGACAAATATGTTTGTATGTTTGGTTATAAAATATTCACACAAATTTGAAATTAACTATTTTACAAGTGGAGGTGTTAACTTGAGTAAATTTTTTCAGGCTTTCTGTCTGACAAACCCTGTTTAGCTCAGGAAAATCAATGCTTTTTCACATCACTGATTTTATGAAGATTGGGGATGTATTATCATATAGATTGACAGTTGCCCCACTGGTTCAGTACCACAGCATGGACACTTACAAAGCCATCATTAATTTCTCACGCTTGTGCCCAGCAATGGTTTCCTACATAATAAACACTGTGTCCTTCAGAACCAAATCAATAACCTGTTAGGTATGCTTCTCTTGAAGAGGAAGTAACAAGAATCTAAACTTTAAGAGAAATGCACTCTCCAATACAATTTCAAGTATGCAGGAGATAGAGGCATAAAACAGACATTTCTCTGAATGGAATTTTATTCTTTTGCACCTAACCACATTAGGTGAACTCATGATGCATAGATTTTATTGAATTTATTTAAAGTACTGTCTGCTCTCTTTTCCTGACATGGTTCAGTTCCTGCGTTACAACACAGTATTTCAGCTGTAAAAAGGTGACATTTTTTAGACTGAGCTGCTAATCACAAATGATACCATTCTACCTCAAAATAATAAACTCAATTTTCATTTAATATTAAATCAGTTTTGGCACTCACTGCTTTCCCACATAGCACAGAAGAAGCTTAATTGCCATAAATCACTCTTTTCAACATTTTGTACTAATTCAAAACCATCTACAGAGCTTATGACCACTTGCTTCATTTTTAGAATTGGTATAATTCAGTCTTAAATTAGAATTATGTAAGCCTTAAAATATTAGCAAGTTTGAACTGTCTGTTGATCAATCAAAAATAATATAAACTGATTGTGCTAATTATTTTCTGACAGAAAAGCATATTGAAGATCCATTTTGAAAAGTAACACTTCTATGTTTACAGTTCTGACTATTTACCTTGCATTAGATCTTGAAATTCAGTATTGTATCTTCAAATATAACTTTTACTGGTGACTGCATGTAGCCATTCATTTCTGAGAGAAAGCAATATGAATATAGAAGGGCAAAACTTGAAGGGCAAAAACTTAAGTCCTTGGTAACCCTGATCAGTTCAGTTCTGAGCTTCTGGTCATCTGAATCATTATAAGCAGCTTATCCAAAAATGATCAATCAAATGAATCTTTTTTAGAAACATATCTCACATATGATGTAGCATAAGCAGAGAAGAATAAGCTTTTTGAAACCACAAGTATGTTGTATAGTCTATTAGGATCAAGTGGATCTTCAGTGGTTACCTTCATTTTAAGTAGTGTTGCTGACTTAAACGCAAGGTACAACTCACTGTATGTAAGTATAGAGAATATGGTCCCTAAAGCGTATGGGTCAGAACTTAGATGTTCTAAATCTGTGTACCTCCAGATATCAAAGGATAGTACTAGTTTATACCCGGCTGATCTTTTGAATGAATTAACCCTGGTTTGGAGTTACGGAATTGTGTCTTTTTCCTCATGTGCTGAACTATTCATATGAGTAAGGTTGCATATTTAGGCCTTTATATTCTATTTTGTGAAAGCAGAGAAGATTAACCTTAGAAGTAGTTTGGCTTTTAATGAAAAAGGTGTATGCTGAAAGGATCATTAACATTTGCTTGATGTATCAATACTGTAAATTGAAGAGTTAATTCCCTTCCCCTACCTCTCTAATAAAGACTATAATTATAGTTCTTATTTACAAGACAAATGGAAGTTTTGATTAGTATCAACTCCTATTATCATTCTGTGATCAGGAGGTTTAAAGAGTATTCAAAGTCATTATCTAAACCTGTGGATGGCCTACTACACTGATGGAATGCAGAAACTAACTTTCCTTGCTAAGTGTCTAAAATGGCCATTGTGGCACCTAGGAACTTCTGGAGTACAACCTCTATATTTCCAAAGTGGCAAAAAAATAACAGAATGGAACTTGTTACACTAGCTTGATGATACATGGATATTTCTCCCCAGGAAGTAAATCCTTAGCTAGTTAACTGAAGTTGATTTATTTGTACCACCAAAATATAAAGTGTATGCTACTCAAGTTCCTCTACAGTGCCATATCAAGCTCTTTCCTGTTAAGTAGCATTTTGAACCAAGTAATATCTTGTAAGTAATCACGGTTCTCAGTGTATCATGAACATAGTTATCAAGAGAACAATCAGCAGCCATCTTGAAAACAAATCATTTTCATGTTTAGGAGTAGAGTTCAAACACCACTGTCAAAGGTAAGGAGTAGATGTTAGATGTAACGTATGTTTGGGAGCAGTCAGCAATCCTTTCTTACTGGGATTCAGTTTCATAGTGTTATTAGATATGTGGTGTTGGATATCATGGAGGTAGTAAAATCAAACTTTTATTAAGGTGATTAGCAGGAAGAGCTAAACAAACCTGAGTGGCAGTAGCATAACAAAGAAAACATATTTTGGAATGATAGAAATAGGAGATAGCATGTAGTATCAAGTGGAGACTGGTAGTGTGTCACAACAGATGCTGAAATGAACAAGTAGAATGCAAATATACCTACAAGGGAAACCTTTCAAGATGTGGATTTAAATAAAATTAAATTCTATCATTATAATGAGAATAACGAGTGACAGTGTAAAAGATGACAGTGGCATGCTACTTCATGTAGAACTGATGCCTTCTTTTTTCAGGGGTATTATGATAATGCAACTGCATGTCAAGTCACTGAGTTAGGGGGACCGTATTTGGTTTTAGCTGTTAATTCTTTTACATTGGCGCCTTGCCTGTAACTAATGGTGTCAATGGGAATAATAGGATGTAACGTACCATTGTATTTTTTCACAGTGCAACTTCTATTTGGCATTACAATAAAACATCAAACATTTCCGATTTTTTTTTAAACTTCCTCCCCCTTTTCTCATGTGTGTCAGAAAGGATATGTATATAATACATTTAAGAGTAAAGGCAGGAACAAAAAGAGGAAAATTAACCTACATCAAACTTAACTAGAGCAAGAAAAATATTTCAAGGTTTTACTATCTTAATCTGTGCTTACATTTTAAATGTGTTCACTATACTATGATTAAAGATAATTACATGTGTATAA